CTACACTCCCACAGATTCACAGCATGCACACACACACACACAGGTCTTAATAACTAATTGGTAAGAGGTAGTTTTCTAGTCTGCTTCTGACTGCTGTAGGGAGCTCGTTTTGTTTCTGACATTAGAATAAGGTGCTGTTTGATTTCTCTTTCATTTCGGCACAACAAACTAACTCAACTAGCCCTCTGAACTTGTTTTAAAAGCATCTTAAAAAGGAGGGGAGGGGAGGGAGCGATGATCTAGACCGGTCTCGTTAGATCTCAGAAGCTAAGCAGGATCAGTACTTGGAGAGGAGACTTGCAAGGAAGACTCTGCAGCCACAGCAAACCCACCTCCGCTTCTCACGTGCCTCGAAGGCCCCTCGCTGGGGTGGCCATAAGTCAGCTGCGACTTGACGGCACTTTACACCCACACAATAGGATGGGAGTAGCAAACTCCCAAGGGTCAAGTGTATTTGGAGAATTTTAAAAATTCATCCGCGTCAGGAAAACCCAGAGACTGTAACCTGTATACACAAACGGAACAGGGTTTTTTTTAAAATATAATTTTTTATTAAGAAAAGACATAATGGGACAACAGTGAAAAAAGAAAAAAAGCACATTACAAAACGAATGTAACACAAACATGAAACTTTGAGAATAAACATAACCCATTGCAAGAACGACCATCTTAATTTTGCTCTAAAAGCCTACCCTCTTCGAGATTGACCATTGCACTAAAACTCAAAAAGTAAAGCAATGACGATTGATCATGAAAAGACTTAACTGAACACTGCCAATATATGCTCTTATTGTGCCAAAAGAATTGTGCAGTTTTTACCCTTTGATATACTTTCTTCTGGTTTTTACAACCACTGATAAGGGGAAGGAAGCTCTCTGAAGCACTGAAGCTTAATCTCTGTCTTCTCCAGTGGCTTCAGATACTGTAGCGGGCCTCGCCCAAACACTTTCAAGGATCTCTTCGCAACCAAAAGGACAGAGACTTAACAGTCCAGAACTGCATTCTCTACTCTTTGCGTGCTTCCACCAAATGCAGCATGTAGACATAGCCAGGGGTCATTTCGTAGAAAAAGAGGTGCAGGAGCTCATTAGCATAACTCATTAGCATAACTTATTTGCATATGCCACACCCCCTGACATCGCCGGAAGTGTGTCAGAGGGCAACACCCACCGCTCAGGGTCCACTGGACTGTTTTGGATTGCTAGCTATTGGAGGGGGGGGGCGTGCAGATCTGTCCTCGCAGAGGAGGGAGAGCTTGTACCTGAATAAAACTTGGTCTTAAAGGTGCCACTGGACTGTTTTGGACCGGGGGGCAGAGGGGGGGCTCTGCAGCTTACCTGGCTGCTTCTTGCTCTGACTGAAGGCTTCTGGGAGCAGGGGGTGGGGCTTGTTGCATGTGCCCGCCCCCTGGGCTCTTTACTGCCGGAGCTCCGCTCCTGTGTGCTCCTGCAGGAAATGACCCCTGGACATAGCCCTGAAAACAAACTTCAGCTCTGTCCTAGTATCTGGAGGCGAGTTTAGGGAGTTTAAATGCTGGGTGTTCTTTTCTCTAAAAGCTGTTCCTTAAAATGCCTAATGTTGCCTTGTAGGAATCCGCCCGTACAAATGTGAGATCTGCGGCAAAGCTTTTACCCAGCGCTGCTCCCTGGAGTCGCACCTTAAAAAGATCCACGGGGTACAGCAGCAATATGCCTACAAGCAACGGAGAGACAAACTCTATGTGTGTGAAGACTGTGGCTACACGGGCCCAACTCAGGAGGACTTGTACGTGCACATCGGCGGCGTCCACCCTGAAAGCACTTTCCTGAAGAAAACTTCAAAAAAACTGGCAGCTGTTTTGCAAAACAAAGGGACCTCTCCAATGGAGACAAACCCAACAGAGAACAGGGTGGAGCAGTGATACTGCGTGGGATTCTATCGTCGCCAAAGACACTGAAATGTACATGTGTAAGAGTTAGGGTTGGCAGGGTCTGAAGAGCGATTTCAGGGTGGCTGCCTCCGCCTGAGAGTTTCCAGAAGAAAGATTAAAAGCTCAAGAGGAGGGGCGGGGCCATTGCCTGCTGGGCCCGAGGGCTTTGGATTCACTCTGCCCGTCTGCTGCAGTCTGCTAGGCGCCTTCCTCTCCAAGGCACGAGGCACAGCCGGGGGCTGCCCTGGACTACCCCCATGCTGCCTTCTGCCTTCCCCAGGTGGCACTGGGCTCCCTGCCCTCTCTGAAAAGCCCCACCCCTCAGCTCCCAGGTCCTCCCTCCTGAGTCTCACGCAACCAGGCAAACCTTTTCAGGACAGACCCCCCAAAGGAAGCTACTGCTGCCGCCCACAGTTACGTGATATGACTGCCTGCGGGGTTTCTGAAGAATTAGACCTATCCGTTAGATGCATTTGTAAAAAAAGAATAAGGAACAGACACGATGAATCATCATGTGACAGTTCTCTCTATACAACCTGAATACTGTACGATCCCTTCAGTCCCACAAGCGCATTTGCTAACGCCGTACTGATGGTTTTAAGTATTTAACAGATAATTTTATGCAATTGGGATGTTGGTAATGGGCCTTGAATGAACACGAATTAAAATGAAGCTTGTTTGTAAAGTACAGCGCAACTGTCTTCCGTAGCAAAAACTATTTTGAAAAAATGTTCCAAGATACCCCATTTAGGAATGAAATGGCAAAACCTTTAGGAGGCAGGCCCCAGGGGGACAAAGAACTCCCCCCCACACACACACACACACACGCACACCTGGGCTACTTCAAATCAGGAAAAAATATGTAGAGAAGGAAAGCTGAAGCCTGCCCCTCCATGCTGTGGTCATCGGCAGAACTGGGCTCCTGTGGGGGTCCCAAATTGAGCCTCATGGGGCACTTGGGGCTGCTGCCCGGCTGCAAGTCCCCACGGTGAGCATGGGATGCACAGCAGTTTGTTTGGACCCAGGGGCAGAGGTCAGGCTGTTGTTCAGGCAGAAAACACAGAACCAGTTGGCTCATGTGCATCAGTCAGTTTAAATGCATGTGGAGGGTTGTGCCGGTGCTATGTATTTAAAACATTTTTATGTCGCCTTTCCACCCCATCAGGGTCCGCAAGGTGGCTAACATAAAAACATTGAAACAAAATTCAGTCAAAAGGATAAAATTCAATTAAGAACACATAAACAGCACTAGCCTTTATTGGGGTTGTGGCTAACATAAAAACATCGAAACAAAATTCAGTCAAAAGGATAAAATTCAATTAAGAACACATAAACAGCACTAGAAGGAGGGCCGGTAGCCTTTATTGGGGTTATGCCAGATGAAACAGAAAAGTTTTCACCTAGTGGCAAAAGTCTCCAACAGAGGGAGACTGACAGATTTGCCTGGGAGGGGCTGTGGCTCAGTGGCAGAGCATCTGCTTGGCATGCAGAAGGTCCCAGGTTCAATCCCCGGCATCTCCAGTGAAAAAGACCAGGCAGTAGGTGATGTGAAAGACATCAGCCTGAGACCCTGCAAAGTGGCTGCCATTCTGAGTAGACAATACTGACTTTGATGGACCAAGGTTCTGAGTCAGTATGAGGCAGTTTCATGTGTTCATGTGAGGGCATTCCAAAGTTCTGATGCCACAACAGAGAAAGCCCTTTCCTGGGTCACCACCTATCTAGCCTCAGATGGCGAGGGCAACTGAAACAGGACCTCGGAGGATGACCAGAGTGAGCAGGCAGGTTTCTATGGAATAAGGCAGGAGAGCCAGACTGATGTAGCAGTTAGGAGCGCAGACTCTAATCTGGGAGAACCAGGTCTGAGTCCCCACTCCTCTACATGCAGCTGCTGGTGTGACCTTGGGTCAGTTACAAGTTCTTTCAGAGCTGCTCTCTCACGAGCAGTTCTCTCAAGAGCTCTCTCAGCCCCACCTACCTCACAAGGTGTCTGTTGTGGGGAGGGGAAGGGAAAGGAGATTGTAAGCCGCTCTGAGACTCCTTCAGGTAGTAAAAGGTGGGGTATAAATCCAATCTCTTTTCTTCTTATGGTATGTTGGTCCCAGGTGCACAGGGCTTTAAGAGTCAAAAACAGCACCTTGAAATAAGCCCAGAAGCAAATTGGAATCCAGTGTAGGTGTAACAAAACTGGAGTCATATGGTCCCAATGACCTACTCCAGTCAACATTACCGCTGCAGCATTATGGACCAGCTGTAGCTTCTGGACTGTCTTCAAGGGCAGCCCCGCATAGAACGCATTGCAGTAATCTAATCTAGATGTTAGCAGGGCACGGAGCACAGTGGCCAGATCTTTTCTGTCAAGAAGGGATGCAACTGGCTCACCAGCCAAAGCTGCTGAAAGGCAACCGAACCACTGCTGCCACCTGCTTATCCAACAGGATGTCCAGATCCAGGACCACCCCCAAGCTACAAACCTGAGCCCAAGTACCTGTTTAAACAGTCCAGGTACCTGCGGAAGAGCCTGAAGAGTAGAACTGTGCAATGAATGTATGCATCAGAATCCCACTCCAATATGCACACTGTTACAAATACAAAAGGCAAATGCCTACCTTAGCCTGGAGGAACTTCCTCCACACTTAGCAGCTCTTGTATTGGTGGAAGAGCCACTAAAGCTGGAGGAAGACTTCAGGCTTCATTTTTTGGAATAGGAGGGCACAGGCACAGGCAAAGAGGCTACTTAAACTATCCGTTAAACCTAACTTTCCTTGGCTAATTATGGCCCTGGTCGCAAGGACTAGCAGAGTTGCCAACTGGCCTGGGAAAATTGTTTCCTGTCCTTTTAATAGGGGTTTAAAGGTAAAGGTTCCCTTGCTCGAAAGCCAGTCGAATCCGACTCTAGGGTTGCGGTGCTCATCTCCGTTTCAAAGCCGAAGAGCCAGCGCTGTCCGCAGACGTTTCCGTGGTCATGTGGCCGGCATGACTAAACACCAAGGTGCACGGAACGCTGTGACCTTCCCACCAAAGTGGTCCCTATTTATCTACTTGCAATTTCTTGCTTTCGAACTGCTAGGTTGGCAGGAGCTGGAACGAGAGATGGGAGCTCACTCCGTCATGCGGCACCCACGGATCTCAAACTGCTGAACTACCGACCTTCCAAAGCCTGCAGTTCAGCGTCTTTAATGGGACATTATTTTGCTCCATTCCGTGAAGAGCTCCAGCTACCCATTTCCAGACTCTAAGCCTCTATAAAGGGTTATGTCGTTTCCCCTAGATCGTTGGCAGTCCCCCACACAAGACACATTTACAAGTTATGCAGGGAAGTGAAACCTCTGTAGTTGCCTAGATGGGGCACCACCATGAAGAAGGCCCCGTTCTTCTCATCTACCTTCAGGCAATTCAGGTGCCCTAAAGCAGAGGATTCTTGTATGTCTGCAGGCCTTTCCTTGCTCCTCAGCAATTTGAACATCTCCTTATTTCTGCATTCCGGTGGAGCACAAAAAATGCCCCAAATTTATCACAGCTACTCGTATCCCAAAGTCAGCCTTGTCGTTATTAAAGAGGTTGTAGTGGAGAGACCTGGATTTAAACGCCTGTTTCTTGCCATGAGTGACCTTGGGCCAGTCATTTTCTTTCACCCTGGCCTACCTCACATGGTTGTTGTGAGGACAGAAGTGAGAATCATGAATGCTGTTTAGCACTCCTTGGAGAAAGTGTGGAATAAAAATGTACTGGACAGATAGACAGCCATGAGCTCAGTCCCTTGCTCCCCCACCGGCCCCTGCAATCGCTCCCCTTCTAGAGGTTGGGTGGCCATCTGACAGCAATGCGGATTCTGTGAACTTAGGCAGATCATGAGAGGGAGGGCAGGAAGGGTTGCCTCAGTGCTTAGTTCTTGTGGCCCTTTGTTATACGCCCAGGGAAATGCTGATCTCCACTTTGGGGTCAGGAAGCAATTTTTCTCCAGGCCAGTTTAGCCAGGGATCCTGGAGGTGTTTTGTCATCTTCTGGGCGTGGAACAGTGGTCACTGCAGGTGTGAAGGGGGAGGTATTTGTCAATTTCCTGCCTTGTGGACTAGATGAAACTGGAGGTCCCTTCCAACTCTATGATTCTATGATTCTAGGTACACATGGAAGGAGGAGGAGGAGGAGGAGGATAGATTTATACCCTGCCCTTCACTTCCTGAAGGAGTATCAGAGTGGCTTACAATTCTCTTGCCCTCTCCACAACAGACACCCTGTGAGGTAGGTGGGGCTGAGAGAGCTCTTTGAGAACTGCTCTTGAGAAAATAGCTCTGAAAGAACTTGTAACTGACCCAAGGTCACGCCAACAGCTGCATGTGGAGGATTGGGGAATCAAGCCTGGTTCTCCCAGATTAGAGTCTGTCCCCCTTTCTTTTTCATATGCCCTTATCCTAAACTCCTCTCTAATGTTGCTCCAGCACATCTCCCCTACTCAGGCACCAGCTGCAAATGAATGTTCTTGAGATGTGGTGGGGAGGGGAAGCAGTAGGATACATGAAAGGAAATATAGTGTTATTTATTCAGGGCCCCCCCCATTTATCAAGAAAGCCAAAGGGGGGGGGGACTCACAAGTGGGATCCAACTCATGGCCAGCATATAAGTGTCACACCAGCAGTATTTCCCACGTGTATTGCACAAGGGAATCCAATTCAGACTCAGCAGCATCCCTTACAAAAGGAGTTAACCAGCACTCCCCACATCAGGCACGGGAGCCCACCCGGCAAGGAAGCTGTTTTCAAGGCAAAGCAGCACGTTACGTGCGCAACCATGTGCTCCATCTCGCCCTGTGCTTTCCAAGACAGTTGTAATGGGAAGGGGCACAGAGGGAATGCTTGTAAGGTTTCCTCTCCAACGATTTTGACAAGGTAGGCACTTGCCAGTTCTCTGTTCTCGCTGCCCACCCTCCCACTAGCTAGGCTTCTGGTTCCCAACTCATGAGAAGGCAATACAGATGCCCAGAAGGGACATTCGGAGGCAAAGGAGGGGGGGGGGAGAGATGCTTAACCCTTCTCCCAACAGATAGATTCAGGTGGGTAGCCGTGTTGGTCTCAGTCAGCAGAACAACGTTTGAGCCCCGGGGCCCCTTTAAGACCAACAAAGTTTAATTCTGGGTATATTTAACTCTGCACACGGAAGCTTATAACCAGAATAGAACTTTGCTGGTCTTAAAAGGTGCCACTGGACTCAGACTTTGTCCTTCTCCCGACACTTTTCCGTTTGCAAATTCTCTCCCCGCATCAATGAGATTTGGAACCCAGTGTTCCCCCATACCTTTTAACTCCGCCCAGGCTCAAAGCCAAGCAGCGGCCGTCATCTAAGCCGGGCCCAGGTCTGAGCAACCCTTCGCTCAGAACCGTCACACAGTCCCACCGTCCTTCCCTTTCTCTCTGAATTCCTCCAGGCGAAGCAGCCACTTGTTCCAGTACTGAGAACACAGCTCAGGGTCCATTAGGTGAGCGTGGGCAGGAGAACCGTCCTTGTAAGCAACCACAAGGAGTCCACAGTCGACCTGAGATTGAGAGGAAGACAAAAGGTTCAGTATCAGGTCTGCAGTTTCTGCTGGATTCTCTTTATACCTGGGAAATACCCTGCAAATAGTCAAGACGTGCTTGGAGGAGCTGCGTAGGGGCTTGCTCAGGCTTGCACACTCACGCTCATCCTTCACCTTGGCCCAGCAGAGCTG